AATGAAAAACAGTAACAAGTTCTGCCCGCTATAGTTCGTGATGCATAAAAGATACAGATTTGAGTTGTTACCAAAAGTTTTAGTTAAAAACAAAACCTACAAAAGCTCTATACATCATTTTGCGTTATGTTTTTGATGAAAAAAGTTAGAGACAAATGAATGTAAATGATTTTCCTTGACGCGTTGAGTGATGCTCACCATTAGACAATAAGTTCATTGATCACTATACTGGACTAGGAAGAATGACTTGAAAGTAAGTATTTATGTTTCGGATTCTATCTTCTTCGGATTTATAAAATTCTATATTCTATGTTCATTTGTTTCGAAAATGGATATTATTCCTATAAGCGTACAGTTAACAAACATGTTCCTGAAAGGATCACCAGATTGAAGCTAGATCTAGTATCCCCCAAGAAGTAAGACCAACCAACACAAAACGACAGGTTGAAGGCATCTCTAGCACTGATTGATGATAAGTTAAACATTTTCCGGTCTTTCTTAGCCGAGTAAATCGGTGAATTCCATCGAACGTGCAGTACAGTGTAATTCAGGAATACAGCCAACTACAGCACTTGTATTGGAATTACAGGAAAAAGAGAACGCGGAGAAGCACAAGCAGGACGAGAATTCACCAGAATGAAACTAGTTTTCCTGAACGATCGGGAGGCTGCTTTCCCAGTTACATCGCTGATGTACTTCACAGTCCTTATAACCAGCCTTTATTACAGCTATACATGCTGTAGCACATCTTTGTAGATGCATCAGGTTCTTTTTTTTTCCTTTGGTTTGTTTTTTTTCCGTCGATCTTGTTTTCCGTGCTGAGCACCAATGCTACCGACGTGCCAGGAAGGCAGCTCCCACACCTGGACCCTACCTATCGACCCATCAACTCATGAACCGGGGACCAACGGCTTTACTTCCCATCCGAAGGAAGGCGTGATCAGAGATGTTATGCCTCAGAACATCCCGGCGGCGCCGACTAGGATTGAACCCAGGCCTTCTGGGGTGAGAGGTAATCACGCTTACCACTACACCACTGGCGCCGTTAAACATCAGGTTCTTAATATATATATAGGTATTTTTAATTTTATTATAGCCACTTTAACGCTCTTGGGTCATTCGTGACATGTCTGGGGTGAGATTTGAGCTCGTGACTTTGGCGTGAGAGGTATGGATGCTAACCACTACGCTGGGTTCGCCTTCAGATTCTAAATAATAACATGGTAACTTTGAATCTATTTAGATTTGAATATCTTTTGAGTGTACAATCAGGGGCCGCATTGCGCATCTCGAAACGAAAAACTTTTTCATACAAGCGTTCGTACAAAATGTCTTTCGTTTCGAGATGCGCAATGCGACCCCAGATATCCAGCAAGAACTGCACGCTTTAAGGTGTATTCAGATCTGAGCGTACATTAGCGGAGCGGAGCAAAATTTGCGTTGGAATGAGAGAGACAACTAGTACTTTTCTCTCTCTCGTACCTTCGCAAAATCTCTCTCCGCGCGTGAAATATCGCTCAGATCTGAATACACCTTTAGGCACCCATAGAGATCTCCAAGCGCAATCTCACGAACACTAAAATCCAACATCCATATATAAAAATGAAGAAAAAGAAGAAGAAGAAGAAACGAAAATGTATCGCGTTATCACAACTTCTTAAAAAGGAAGCACGCGGTCTGCAAGTATGTTACACGTCCAAAGCATACCAGACTGCTATTTCCGTGTTGCTCCCGTATAGCGCGTGCTTGCTTGAAAGTTTTAATGTAGTGTGGACAGTTTGTGGTATGTTTCAAGCATGATCTTATTTTATCACCGGGTGATAGAAAGTCTAGCAATCACTTAGCTTACATCAGGCATTTGATCATCCACAAAGTTGCCACCCGCCACAAAAAAAAAACCTCGCTTTAGGTGCACTATTTATCGAGTTTTGTCATGGTGATATTGACATGATTAGAAATTAATGTATTAGGTATTAGGCGATGGTCTGCCTACTGAATTTAATCCTTCTTGATGCAAAGCAAGGTTAAACATTTATTTGAACCACACTATAACATAGAGTATTCATGCTCACTTAAAACCATAAAATCTTTAAAAATCTAAACGCATAATTTTATATCATTTGAACCTGTGTCGTACACAGGTTGCACATGTGGACGTGACGCCACTGCGATTAGATTTATTTTCTGTGCACAATGTTTCCTAAACATCTGCAAAGTTTCTTTAATTTCTAGAAAAAAAAACAATTCAACTTCCATGAAGTTCCCTGAAGATTTTCCAAGTTCCGTCATTTTTTTTCCAAGCTCTTCTAATTTGACCTAGATTTTAGAACATGTATGAACTTCTCAAAATTTCCAGAAAAATCTTGAACCTTTTCTACGAATTTTCGTGAGCATCTGGTCGAAATGAATTTCCCAAAACTACCAGGAAACTCAATGTGCTTTTTCGAAATAAATTTTTTGACAAATGGCTACGAATTTTTTTAAACTGTTATGATGATTCCTCAAGTTCTAAGAAGATTGCTAAACTGCTGCCATAGTTATTTCCTGAACATTTACGCAGTTTGCTGAGCTTCTGAGCATAATTGTTTATTATTGGCAATGATTTGCATTTTTGCTAAAATTTGCCCATTATGGAATTTTTCTTGGTTAAATATACAAACATATTTTCAAGAAAATTCAAGTAGAAATAAAAAAAATATTTAAGCCTCAATATCTCAAAAAGTGATTGTTTGATTTTTAATTCTTCTTTTTTAAATAAAAGCTTATGAAATATTTAAAATTTAGGAATTTTTGAAATTATGGACATTTGAAAATTGAAAAAAATCGATGAACAAGAACTTTTGGTAAAATTTCTGAACTGGTTGTTGGCACGTTTCTTTAATATAATTTAAACATGTTTTGAACAGTTTAAATCATACTTTGGACTGTATGTTTTGTATTACTTTTGAGTGAAGTCAACGATTTATATAGTTGAAGATGCTAATTTCAAATAACAGTCTAAAGTGGTAATTTTTATACGATAGATGAGGAGATGAAAGTATAGAGTTGATAGTTCCGTTAGAGTACGGCAGTGTGAAAATTTTATATAGAGAGTAGAAAGCGAGCAAGGACGACTTTTAAAGAAGGTACAAATTGGTTTGATCATCTCTCTTTACCAAACTCCTCCGTTTGAGAGGGATGGTAATGGGTATTCCCCCCGCCACCACTAGCAAAAAGAGATGATCGTCAACTCGCTCATGTACCGACGATGTGTTTGAAACAGTTCTATCGATTTTACCGCACTCAAGTTGTTATCTGAACGAAGGAAGTTTAAATCATGTTCTGTGATAAAAAATAAACCCAAAAAAGTGTACTAACTAATATTTAAAGTTTGTTCAAAAGTTTTTGTTCTACGATTTTTGTCAGTATTCAAGTGTCCATGGTTTTGAACATTTCAAAAGTTTGTTTAAGCTTTTTTTTCGACATCAAAAATTCAAAAGTCGGACTTGGATATTTTGAGGTATTTGGGGTTTTAACATTACAAACAATTATGCAAGGTTTCATGCAAATCGGAGAAGGTCGAGTTTTTGTATTCGTCATTTGGTATGGACTGTTCCATTATAAAAATTTTCAACATTTTAACCAGTAGAACCAAAGTTTAGACAGTAAAAGTGATTTTTAAAATTCATCCTTACTTATTTCCACACAAATTTTTAAACATTTGCGTGACCTCTAAATCTTCATCAATCTTTACCATTTTTTGCACAGGCTCATATTTCAGGGTTATAAATCGAACTGGAGGGTGGCCTATAAGAAATTTAACACTTTTTTTTCAAGGTGTAGCACCTTAATGTGCATTTCTGACAAAATTGATACACTCGACAGTAGGGTGCTTCATTCTGAAAAAAGTCATGAATTTCTGATGGGCCACCCTCCAGTTCGATTCATAGCCCCAAAATATGAACCTGTGCAAAAATTGGTAAAGATTGATGAAGGTTTAGAGGTCGCGCCAATGATTTGAAATTTGTATGGGAATTACTATGGAAGAATTTAAAAAATCGCTTATATCGCTATAACTTTGCTTCTACTTGTCCAAATGTCGAAAAAATTTAGTATGTTATTGCTATGGCAATAAACAAAAAGCCTACAGTTGCTACGCTCAGTTTTGCAGCGTATCAAGAATTATAAAAATGTGAAAAAATGGCAAAATAGGGTAAATTGACAGATGAATATGTACAAGGCAACAACACCAATTTCATCGCAACAACAACAGGCTTGTTGATCATTGTCATGACAACCACATATTTTTTTTTTTCAACGTTTGGACAACTACAACCAAAGTTAGAGCAATGTAAACGAAAATCAATAATTTCCCATACTAATTCACCAAAATCTCCATACAAAATCCAAATCATTGGCGCGACCTCTAAACCTTCATCAATCTTTACCATTTTTTGCACAGGTTCATATTTTGGGGCTATGAATCGAACTGGAGGGTGGCCTATCAAAAATTCATCACTTTTTTCAAAATGAAACACCCTACTCGACAGGTTAGCTTATAACCTTTATGTTTATTCACTCAACATATCTGTGTTCAGGAAATATGAATCCACGTAAAGAAAGTAATCGTAAACCACTTTCTGTTTGACAAATGTTTGCTTAAGCATGAAATGTTAGAGTTTCATAAGTTAGAAAATATTCGTCTTCTTAGTGGCTTCCGGAGAAGGATTTCGATATTAATTGGCATTCGTATACATAAGCATGACATAAGAGCAAAATATCAAAGAATAATATTGTAAGGTCGGGATCGATTTGCTAGACCGAATCAAGAATTGAACCTCCCACTTTTGACTTGGTAATACTGTGCCTTAACTGACACGAGGCTACAATCCAGAAAATATTATGCTTTTGAATTAATTTATTAAAATTTTCCATTTCAAGTAGTTTAAATTGATCTCCAATGAATCTCAAAATGTTCTCAAATGTAAATAATCTTAAACCGAATAAATTGCAATACTTACTATGCGGTGGCGTTAGCGTCAGCGACGAAACCGACGGCATGTGCGGGAACGACAGGGGCGAGTGTGGCGGCCGTGGCGGTCCATCCGACTGGTTGAAGAACGGCGGAAAATTTAACGTTGGACTGTGCAGAAAATCCTTCGGACCCAGTCGTCCATCCTTGCCGCCCGCTCCACCGCCCATCCCCACTCCCATCGGACCGGATCCGTTGTTCCCGTCCCTGCTGCTGGGTCCATTTCCCGGTCCAGCATTCCCGTTGTTGTTCTTACTGCTACTGCTGTTGTTGTTTTCACCATCCGGCGTTAGTCCCGGGGGCCGTAGCTGCGGCGAGGAGTTGTGATGCGAAAGATGCGCTAGCGGGTGCTGATGCGAGGCTAAGGCCAGGTCCATGTGGTCTAAAAAATGAGGCCCATCGTCGTCGCCAAGTCGGTCATCGTCGCGATCTTCCAGTTTGACCCGTTTATCCGGGTGGGACAGGCTGGAGGGAGGGTTGTTGTTCAGGTGAAACGAAGGCGGAGGCGATAGCGAACTCATGGATCGGGCCAGGGAGGATCTATTCAGATGACGGATGTCCTTCAGCGAAAGTCGACCGATCGTCGTTTCCGGAGAGCTGTCCTTGATGCTGGATGGGTCTGATAACCGAGAGTTGCTGTCTTTGTTCGAATTGCTGGAGTTGTTTGAACTGTTATTTGAAACGGAGGATTTCTTCATGCAGAGGTTCTCGGGTCCATCCATTACGGAGAGGGAAGCTGTCGACGCGGTTGAATTATTTTTGCTGTCCTTTTCGTTGTCATCGCTTTTACTTGGTGTTTTCTGCGGACTCGAATCCTTTTTGTCTTCGCTTTCGCTTCTTCGAATGATTTCCTTGATATCGTCATCTTCATCTTCTAGTTCTTCGTCGTCGTCACGATCGATTTCGTTGTCTTCATCTTCCTTTTCATCCATGCTGGGGGGAACGGGACTGGTGGGTTTACTACTTAGGTCCTGAGGGGCACAATCACCTGATCGTCGCCTTGGACGGGCCTGCTTTCGTCGTGGCATGGGTGAAGTGCAGAGATCTGGGTTGGGCAGGTTCAGAGAAGGATCGGCGAACACCTGTGGTGGCAGCAGTAACTTTGGAGTACTGGCACTCAACATGCTTGTTGCCGTGGAGTTCTGATGCGGGTGGCGGGCATGGTGGTGGTGGTGGGTGAAGTTTGGCGACGGAAGTGACGGTGATGTTGGCGATATTAGCGAAGAGTCCAGCAGACTGAAGTCTTCGGGAGATTGCGCTGGGGTTGGGGTGTTACCTGCTACTGGATGGTCAACCAACCCCCGAACCTGTAGCGATTCTCCGGCCTGTATCAGTACTGAGAGTCGTTCTTGAGGAACGCTGATCTCGCCACGGTACATAAAGTCTACGATCGCTTGCACAACCCATCCGCGGAAGTCTTTCAGCACTATCACAGGATGTTTGCAGGGAGTTTCGGAGAACACTCGCTGGAAGAAGGGCGAACAGGCCGACAGGACGACCTTATGCGCTCGGATGCTCGTCTCGGCACAGACCAGCGTGACATCGACGAGGGTTTTGGTCTGCAGCAGGGTATCGAATGCCCGTAGAATGTGGTTCTGGTGGTTGTTCCACCGAAGGCTATAGTGCTCCTGATCGGTCATGATTTCGAATTTTTCTTTCATCTGGTCGTTAAGTCTAGCTCAGCTGCATGCGACAGTTGGTGGGTCTCAATAACAGATGTCGATGAATTTGTGTGTCTGTAATGGGAGGAAAAGAGAAAACCGTTTTACAATGGCGTGAAATCGATCAAATGCGCAATAATGTATCGCGTTAGTCGAGGAAATGAAAACAAATTGGATAATGACTTTAGGTAACGGCGAGCGATTTGCGAGTAAACTTTTTCTTCTGCTGCCGCTGGCGAATCGAAACCTCGGAACCGGGGGAGCTTTAATAGCTCAATTTTTCAATTTGCTAGGCATGCATAGTAATTTACCCGCACGAATACACTATGATTTTTTTTTTCGGTGGCACGCTCTTCGGGATTGACTCACACATGCAAGGATCAGTGGCCCTCTAGGAAAAACCGTAGGTCGAAGACCAAAGCAGATGAAGAGCACCGTGAAGGGGAAAAAAAAAACATATTCAATTTACTTCCCCATCCGTCCATGGCTGTTGGGATGAGTTAAGCGACCTCGGTTGTTCTCCACCTCCTCTTCGGGCGGGAAAAAAGCAGTGACAGTGAATTTCAATTTCGGTCCCAGATTTTGCATTCCGGTGCTATACTTTCCCACTAAAGAAGTTTTCTCTTCTTAAAGACTCGCGGGGTGGTTGGTGATGTTTGGTGCCATGGGTTTTGTAGAGAGAGAAAAAAACCGCTCGGGCGACGAAGGCCACGGGAGGGAAACTTTAAAAATATTTACTTTGATGAAAGGTGACTTGGTGTGCTGATGGATAGTGGTTGTGTTTGGGTTTGGTCTACCAGATAGTAATATTTTTAACGATTCTGAGCTTTGCCTACTTTTTTAAATTTCCAGTATAACATTTTTGCATCACGCATACCAAAACAGCCAGACCTACTGTGCAGCATTCAAGAGGCAAGATGATTCAGAAAACATGAAGTCTGTTTAAATCGAAAATTATCTAAACACGATGCTTCAGAATTCAATAAATGGATGAAACGTGGACATCTCGAATAGTACGTTCCGTATTTGGTAATTATATGATTGGTTGGGCGTTCGAAGTATCTAAGCTAGAAAGGTTAAGCGATGCTTCATTTTCCTCTGACGGTTGGAACATGAGCACTAGCTCTTGCCCTAGACTTTTATGGCTAATGGCTATAGCGTCATTACTCGCTTTCTGAAAAGAGAAGAAGGAAAGAAAATGAAAGGAAAGGAAAGGAAAGGAAATGAGCAGGACACATGTCTCCGCGAAAAAAACCGCGTAAATTCCAAAATCTGCGTAGAAAGAGGCTCCGTCAAACACAAGGGAATTTATTGAGCGTGGCTCAGGCGGCATCATCATCATCATCTTCACCTACTAAAGAACATTAAAATTGAACGTAAACTGCAAGATCGATTTACAACATGCGAGTTTTACGTCTGTTTGACTGTGCTATGATCATAAACAATATTTTTGATTTGAAATATACAATATAACAATCCATAACGGGGGTTTTCACTACCCGATTCTTGTCACTATTAACGAGGCATAAAAAGTGATAAGAACTAAAGTGTGTTCCTTTGATTAATGGAAAATCCTGATCTCCTAGTTTGAAGTTGTCATAACTAAGGTTCGGTGGTAGATCTTATACCATTAGCACACCACGAAAAGGAAATATGAGAACCAGCGTTGCCAGATATACCGATTTCCGAACTAGATACCGATATACAAATAAGGTTCCTCAGAATACCGATTTATGAGGTTTTATACCGATTTATACCGATTTTATTAAATAATCAACATGATTATTGCCTGCCCACGCTCGAATTTTGGAGAAAATTATTGTGAGAAACTTGTATCTTTTTGAATATCTAAAATTTTTTGAGCCTTTCAAATTAAAAAAAAAAATATAAAAATGTCTTATGGATACTCTTTCGATTAATGTTTCAATTTCCTCACCATTTTTGGTACGGAGATGAACTAGCCCACGGTTAAAAATCTCCTAAATAAAGGAAGAAAAAAACAAAAAAAAAACATTTTTGGCTACCCATGAATCAATAAGCAATCGATGGCTCTTTCTGGTAACTCTGAGGGAATTGGGAAATACTTTTTAAAGACTATTTAACTTCCTGAATTATCTTCCACCTTACATCGTAAATTATTTTACGATTCCTCTCGAAAACTTATTTCGACTTCCCTTGCAAGTTTCTTCAACCTTCGCTCAAATGATTCTTCCATCTTTTCCCGCCAGTTTTTTCAACTTTCCTGGAACTTCAGGGATGCTTCCAGATTTTGATTGCGGATCCACACTAGCTGCAGGAACTTTTAAGAAGTTCTGAAGCTTCAGAAAAGTCCAGACTTTTGAGTAAGTTTCGATAGATTGAAGAATGTTTCAATAACTTCTGTTAAAATTCTAAAACCCGGTCCAGCGAACTCCAGTGATCTTAAGGAAACATCATACATATTTTGGATACTTCACAAGTCCAAAGAACTTCTGGAAAATGTAATGGTTTTCAGGACAGTTCCATTAGTTTCAGGAGAATTGAGAGAGCTTTAGGAAGCTCCGATATCATCAGAACAGATCAATAAATTTCAAGGAAATCGCTGAAATTTTAAAGGAGTTCCGAGAAACTCAGGCAATTTACGAAAACTTCAGCAATGTTGCGATGGGGCTCATGCAAATTTAAGAAACGCAAGGGAAGTTACATGAACATTAGCACATTGTGAGAACATTTTACGGGAAGCTCCGTGCTTGCAGTGTTGATAACTTTTAATTAGAAAAATCGGAAAGATCAGAGAACTTCAATGCTGATGTTACTATAAATTCAAGAAAATTGTGAGAGCTCTTAAAAAATTTCGTAATCTTCAAGAAAGTCTAGAGACCTTCAGAGTTTATTAGATATATTCCGGTAGTCTCATTATAATCAGGGAAGTTCCAAGTATTTCAAAGATAATCAGAGAACCCGAGGAAATATGGAATAATCCTAAGTACATTTCAGGAATGTTCCAAAAACTTCTGGGACATTACGGGGTCTTCGGGGATGTTTTATGACCATTTGGAAAATTTTCTGGATCATTAGATCATCCTCCAAGAGCTCTTTCTTCCGGAATTATGTCCTTGTTTCTTTCGACTGTTCCGTTAGCGCTCTGGCTCCCAACTTCCTCCAGAATTTTTTTTTTCAATCTACCTTAGGAAGTTTCTTCCGTCTTCTTCTTTCCTTTATTTAACGTCGGTCTCTGTTCCGCAATCTAGTGCCAATCACCGACGGACATCGATTGCCATCCATTGACGGCAATCGAATGTGCAGGAAGGCAGCTTCCACACCTGAGTAGGATATCGCACCCATTCAAACACACATGGGCCGGGACCAACGGCTTTACTTCCCTTCCGAAGGAAGACGTGACCAGAGATTTTTATGCCTCAGAAAAATCGCACCGACCTCGGCTGGGGATTGAACCCAGACCCATCGGGGTGTTAGAAAGCAGTCATGCTTACCACTACACCACCGGCGCCGGCAATTTCTTCCGTCTTCTCCAGGAAGTTTAATTAAACTTCTCCCAGAAATTTCTTTCGTCTAGTTCTGGAATTTTGTCCAGTTGTTTTTTTTTTTACTTCTATTGGAAGATTTTTCCGAGCTCCTTCTGGTTTCCCCCGAAAATGGCTACTTCTGGAATTTATTTCCGATTTCTAAAACTTGGCTGCTTTCTTTTGAATGTGAAATCCGATTTTTTTTTTCTAAATGTTTCTTTAAATTTTCACCAGAAGTCTCTTAATTTATGGCTTGGGAGTTTCGCGGATGATTTTCCGACTTCTCTCAGAACTTTCCTCCAATTTCCTCCAGGGGAGCTTCTTTATTCTTTCTCTGGATGTTGTTTTCAGCTTCCTCAAGAAGCTAATTCAAACATTCCCCGGAGTTTTCTTCCGGAATTTTCCGATCATAGTCCAAAAGATAATTTTTTTTAATTAAAATAGTAAATACCGATAAATACCCATTTTTTAACACCTTTGATACCGATAAGCTTTAAAGCATTCTGGCAACGCTGATGAGAACGTCAAAAAGAGTGTTGTGAGCAGAAATTTTTGCCGAAAGACACTGGAAGCGGAACACTTTTTCACTTTTCCTGATAAACTGATTCATCTGAGATGCTCGAAAACTTGATCTATAGTTGAAAAATTTAACTCTGTATCATTTTTGCAAGGATTCTGCTAGTGTTCAGGAATATTTTTGTTGAGAAAAAAGCAAAATTCTAATAGTGCTTTAGTGGTTAGGATCTTCCGGATTTCTTGTGTGTGAATAGTTTAGGTGCAAATCAGTTCCAGAACAACATGTGAAAAGGGCATACAAGCTTTTTGTAAACAAACCTTTGTAGGCCCTTTTCTCGCCACCCATATGACACCAACGCAAACCTTTAACCTTTAACGTTAACTTTAACCTTTCCCCTTACCGATGATATTCCTGGTTTGCGTGGGCGACCCTCGGTTGGTGAGAAAAGGGCCTACAAAGGTTTGTTTACAAAAAGCTTGTATGCCCTTTTCACATGTTGTTCTGGAGTTCAGATGTGTGGAAAATCGTAAAATAAGACAATTACCGATGGAAACTTGCAAAATTTTCAATGAGAAATGCTTAAATTTGCGTTATGAAAAATCCTTCTTCTGATGTGAACAAACGGTTTGGTTGACGTTTCCTCTCGAACTCGCGTGGTGGTGCATTAAAAAGGCCTATAGTGATAGCTTTTGTAACATTCTAAAAACTTCAGAGAATCTTGGAGAAACCAAAAGTAGTCCCATTAACTTTATGAAAATTGTAGGCTCATAAGTTACGAGGATGGAAAGTAAATATCGAAGATTTCAGAGAAGTTTCATCAACAAACTAGATCCGCTATATTTCAAACACATATTGACAGATGGGATTTTATCATAGAAGCAGGGTGGCCAGATTATTTTTTTCATTATCGGTAGCTTCTCAAAACTATTATCAGTAGTTATCGGTAGGCCGTCTTAAGAAGGCTGCCCGAAACTTAAAACCTTTGTGAGCGAGGGAAGGATGAAAACAAATCACGCGCAATTTTGGACTTTCGAACCGAGCCATCAGTCCTT